ATGATCTCAAAGAGAAGATGGCCCGGTACGATTTGCATTTGAAGGAAATGGATGATCTCAAGGAGAAGATGGCCCAGAACGATATGTATTTGAAGGAAATAAATGATCTCAAAGAGAAGATGGCCCAGAACGATTTGCATTTGAAGGAAACAAATGATCTCAAAGAGAAGATAGCCCAGTACGATTTGAATTTGAAAGAAATGGATGATCGTGCAAAGAATATGGAGAAGGTGGTAACTCAACACGATTCACAACTGAAAGAATTTAAAAATCGCGAAGAGGAAATTGATAAGAAGATGGCTCGGCATGAGATGCTCTTGGAGGAAAGGAAAAATCATGGAGAAATTACAAAGAGGAAGATGGCCCAACACAATTCACGATTGGAAGAAATGGAAAATGGTGCACGGAAAAGAGAGGCGAAAATGACCCAGATTTCCTCGAAATTGCAAGAGGTGGAAAATTGTGGGGAGATAACGAAGAAGAAAATAGCTCTACAAGATTTGCAGTCCAAAGAAATGGGTAAACGGGTAGAGAAGAATGAGAGAAAAGTTGCCCGGCACGACTCGCAACTGCAAGATATGAATAATCTTGGAGAGATGATAAAGAAGAGAGTGGCTCAAGACGATTTCCTGTTGAAAGAAATTATTCACCGTACAGAGAAGCTGAAGAAGGAAATGGCCCACTACGACTCGCATTTGCAAGAGATGGGTAACCATTGTGAGTCGATGGAGGAGAAAGTGGCTCAACAAGATTCACGTTTTGAAGAAGTGAGTAATCGCACTGACAGGATGAAGAGGGGGTTGGCCAGACACGGTGCACACTTGAAAGAAATTGATCACCATAAAAAGAGGATGGAGAAGGGAATGCGAAAAGTAGGCGAAAAAGTGAAGAACCACTATGCCCTTATCTGCTTGCAAGACGAGAAGACCGTCCATCTTCAGAGGTACTTCGACAGAGTATTACAAGAGCACTTTAACAACTGCCGCAATGTTGAAACCCAGATACGAGATAGCTTAGAGGATCTGATTGTGCGAATTGATACCTTGTTCGCAATGTCTGCTCCAAGTACACCGACTGAACTGTAATGATTAAGTCATATGCTGGTGCAGTTGCTTTTATCATCATGTAGGCTGCTAAACAAAACAAAATGATTACTTTTTTTTATCATTTTTATTTTTTGCATGGCACGAACAGTGTTAACCCTTTTTTCTAGCATTATAGGAATTCTTTGTTCCAGCTAAAACTTTATGGTATACTTATAAAGGAAAATATGATATTAGTCAAAGCGTTCCTTGGAATTTGATTAATAGCAATGGTTGAAACGATAGTTTCATACTAATAAATAGTAAATTGACTTAGGGGTTTTAGGGAGAGTTCTAAAAGTCAGAGGGCTACAGATGGTGCTAGAAAACAACTGAAAATTCCCTAAGCAATACAATCAGGGCTTACTAACCATAATTACCGGATACAAACGCTTGAAAAATATATTATCGTGATTTCCAAAGAAATTTCCTTATGACGATGTTGTTATTCTAAAAGGTACATAACAATATAGATATTAGTAGTAACATTGTTATAAGATTCCAATGATTGTCGTTTTTGTTTAGTGTTTTGGAATTGTAGGCTAAAACTAGATAAGGTACTGCTTTAAACATTAATTGGAAACAGCGGTTGTAGATACTGCGCTTCTAAAAAGCGCGGGTGTTACAGCATTGAGTTGTTAATTAGCTAGTGAAAATATGCACATGTTACAGCCTCTTTTTCTTGCAAGGTAGAATTCAGTGTCACAGTTTTGAGCTCTTAGGATGAGTGAACCTGGTTAACTGGGTTGTTTACTTAAAGTTGTAACTGAGTATGTCAAGTCATGTGTGAAGGAAACAACTTCTGAAAGAGAAGACGCAATAAATAGTATACTGATTATTGAATCTTTTTTGGCATAGATGTCTCGTGGAACAATCGTATCCTTAAGTAAAAGACTTCGATACACCAGCTGCTTTTTTTCTATGAATATGATCCATTCGAAAATTTTAGTTGTATTTTCTAGATGTGAGTACGTGCGCTTGTGTGATCAGAGTTCAGCACCTTAAACGCTTTGGTCAAATTAAAAAAGAATACATCTTTTTAAAAACTGAAAAAGACAAAAACTGCTCATTCGCTTCTTCGCGCAGTGTTTTCTCCCGATCACATGATCCTAATCAGATGTACATGGATGATTACAGGGAGCATTCCCCAATAGACCATAACCTGGCCTAAAGTCGGTAAACTCCTCCCTTTTACCGCTTCCTTCTCCGCCTTTTTTTTCTTAATTTTTCATTTTAATGATAACACAGGCTTTTATTTTGAGACAAAACTCTACTTTTGAATTTGTTTGTTCTTTTTTATGAAACGAGTTAACCTTCAGATTATATTTACTTATCGAAGGGGCGAACTAACAGAAGCCAGTAAATGATTTCTACTCTGTTCCTGCTTGTCGGAGTGATTTCCGTGTGATACATTGTCGAAAGGTAGCCCTCAATGAATGACCATAGTAATACTATTGTACAATGTCATTTCGGATTTGAGTCTTGATCCCTCAATTGTTACAAGCGATATATTAGAATGTAGTCTACAACCGTTTAGCTCAGTAGCGAAGTTTACTTTCCAGAAATCACAACGCCGAAATCATTTTGCTTGGGAGGTGTCTTAATATTATTCTGACGGAGGTCATTCGTTTGTCTCATTTGTTGTTGATATTAAGTTACCAAGTAACTGTGAAAATCTTGGCCTCACCTTACATTTAGCATTTACTCGTTGTAGAAAAATCCTTTTAATAGTAATCATAATGTAACACTTAGATGGGTTCTACCCCAGTTAATAACTAGCTGCCAGAAGGTTTTTTTTTTTTTTACTGATTCTAAGTTAGTTATAAATCAAAAGGGCCCTTGGGCTGCTAGTTCTTAAAGATCTCAAAACTAAGAACATACCTTTTAATTATGGCCAAGAGCTTAGACTCACTTTGCTTCCCTTCATCTTAGCAAAGTACGAAAAATAAAATTAAAATAGTTTATTTATCCTTAATTTTTTTCTATTTAGCTGTTCTAGTGTGCTTTATATTTCTAGCTTCTCTCCTTCCTCGCCTCAGTTCTGAGAGAGAATTTGAGAAGACGCCGAGCTTCAAGCTTAATTAAACAGCTTAAAGTTTTCTTATTTCATTTAGAAGCCTCTAAATGAAATAAGAAAACTTTGATCCCAGTCTTGGAACTTCACCTTTATGCTTGTCTTTTGCTTGCCTTAGTCCCCCATGTAACTTAGTTTACTAC